TTAAACCACCAAAACTGTTTATTTATTAGTATTACACTATTCTATATTTTATTGCTTGTCGACGCGGTCGAGCTAAGACTCCGACGGCTGCTCCGCTCCTCCGCTGTTCTCCGTTGTCCGTCCTGACTTGCCAGGAGTATTGACAATTGACAGTGACACGTGGTCAATAATGTTGGAGTACAAGAGGAGTATCACTAACAAATATAACCTACGATATATGTTTCTTAAAAATTTGTAAATCTAACTGAACGTTGTTAAATTATTATAAACTTATAGATTTAATAAAATATAATTTTAAACTAATTTAAAGGTCTGGTTAATGTATTAAAAATAGACAGACAAAATCCGTATTTTTTATTCAATTCCCGATTTAATGTCTTTATATTTAGTATAATTGCAAACTCAATTATAAACTACAATGTACGTATAACGTTGTTATAACATTATTTGTCCCCTGGTATTGAGCGTGTTTAATTGGTTAACAAACGACTGATATCGTAGTGGAGCGACACGAAAATTAATGAATTAATTATTATTATTGTTTGACGTATATACAATCTGATTTAGGCCGGAGTAACAATTATTAATTTCGCAGGTATCAGATGTATGAAACATTTAAATAAATGTCATTATCGAATTAATATAGTAGATAAGCAAAGTATGTACCGCGATATATATAGGGAATTCAATGAGTTAGAGAGAGAGGTCCCCTGCCGCAATGCGATCGAGAGAGATAGATGTGTATCCTACGTGACATAGGTGGGTGACGTAGATTAACGTTAGAGAGAAAAATCACGCACAGTAGCAAAGCCAAAAGGACCTACGTCGATATCTCAGCTATTATTGGTGCAATTCAAACGGGAAAAACGGCGTTATGAGGGAGAAGTGACGTAGATTAACTTTAAAGAGAAAACACATGCGCAGTGGCAATGTCAAAAGGACCTTATTTAATTACACGGTGAAAGTGGCATTTTATTGTTGTTTTGTGTAGAACTAAGTTAAATTCTAGGTACAATAAAAGACATTTTTACATTGGCTAATGAAAATGTAATTAATGTATTTAACAGCTATTATATTTATTACAAGAATTATGTCTGGAAATCTAAACCTACCCAAGAATTATAGTTATATAAATAAAGAGCTGTATAAAGGGGTGGGTGGCTCAGTGATAGAGTCTGTGCCTGTGGATCCAAGGGCCCCAGGTTCGAATCCCACCGTTGTCCGGGATTTTTTTATTTAATTTAATTATTTAAAATTAGTTCTGATGCCTTGGTAAGATTCTCCACTCGGCCTTTCACTGTTGGATTCTTATAAACAGTGCTGTTCCTAAAGCCTGCAGAGAACACGAGGCTAATGACCTTAGTAGTCGATGCCGATGACACCAAATTAAAAAAAAAAAAGAAAAAAAAACTATATTCTTGGATATTGAGTCAGCCTAGGCTAATAGTGCATGACATTATAAATCAAAATATATAAAACATGGATTATCCATTTTTCAAACTTCTAAATAAAGCTTTTAGTTACCGATTATGACTTCATTCTGATATAGACAAAACATTACCCAGCTAGCACAAAAACATCCCATCTACGTTAATAAGCTGCAATTTTAGGCTCTTTAAGCTCGCATGCAATGTACTGTAAATGTAACCCTTATCTCCCTGCAACTACCGAATGTCCGCAACGGCAAGACTTTTATAGCACATCTCACAGAAGTTACAAAGTGAAGTTCGAAAAACATCACACTAGCACTTTTACGGTACTTACCCCGAAAGTTGCTCTGAAACGTTCTATTGATGTTATAATGTGAATTAGATCTACAGCATTATACAGTGTGTCCACGGATGGGCTTAACTATACTTGTGAAAATATTTATTTTAAATTAAAAAAGTAATTCTTCATAATTTCTTGCTTGTTAAATAAATTCGATTCACATCGAGAAATTATGAAAAATAACTTTTTCTTTAATTTAAAATAAATATTTTTACAAGTATAATTAAGTCCATCCGTGGACACACATTGTGTAATGTAATACAGAGAGGCTGAAATTGAGGCTATAGTAAAATCTCAATCGAGACATGAAAATTTCAAATAAAACAAAATATTTATATAAATTTATTATTAAAATGTTCTTGAAATCAAGTACCAATAGCACAAAAGTAGAGGTAGGTGTAGACGTGTTCTTTTATTCAGTGCTGTATATCCAGCGCTTGCAGCAAACCGTTCGTAAATTAAGTGATGGAAAGACGATTGTATGTGTCAATCATTCTTTTTTCCAGCGGTGAGTTCACCAATGAGCCAAGGCATCCATCGGCTTTAAAAGCCGATGGATTTGTGATAGACGAATGGTGAGGATAATCAATCATTTAAGTTAACCTAAAATATAAGAGTTCAAATATAAAACGACTGCAGAATAGATAAATAACATCAATCACTGATGGAACAATTATTGAATAAAAGAACACACCTTATATCACAAACACAAGTACACATGTGGGATAGAAGAAGCTACCTAGAAAGCACTGAACGATTGGACAAAATTAGCTAAATAGTATAATAAGGTACCAATATTGCAAAGGTTCACTAAAACCTTAAATGGTGAACGATGATAAAGCTAGATTGGTGAAAAATAATAAACGAATACAACAATGACTAGGTACATATTATTATATTAGATTACTAGAGGATAGCTAAGTTCGCTGATTTCTTACCTAAGACGCAGAGATATATCTTTTTTAAATCAAGCCTTTTAACTTTTTTGCATAGATATTTATAAAGTGCTATAATGTAACCTAAATATGACAATTTATTAGAAGAGCATAAATTATATTTTTATATAAAAAGATTTTACTTCTCAATACATTGAATAAAAAAGAAATTGATAACTTGTTTACCTATTATTAATTAAAGGAAATTATATAGAAATTAAAAAAATATGCCTTACTTTGTTGTTTTAAATAAAACAACCAATGTAAGTGTATTGAAATTTGTTTGAATTTTACATATTTTATGCTTGATTTCCAAAGTAGATATATCGATGGCTCAATCAAAAACCGCCACAAGTCAAAAAACAAAGCAATTACATTTTTGGTTCAATGGATGCAAAATATCATTACGGTTTTACTTTAAATGCCACCACAAACAAAAATATCCTTAAAGATAAATCATTTAAAATGTAGCCACAAACTGTGTCTAAAACTGCCTTAATTCGAGTTATTTTCTTCAAAAACACCCAAATTTTTTACAACTATGCAACAACTCACTTTTATAATCGTAATCATTTTATTTAACAGCAAAATATCGAAGCTTTTAAATAAAATATAAAGAGTATGTCAAAAACAAAATAATGATAATGAAATTTCTCGAAATAATAGTATTTTAGTTGTGACAGTATTTGATTGAGCCATCGATATGTAGATTTTATAAAAAACAACTGGTGTTTTTTAGCAAGATATTCTATTATACTCGAGAGTATCATCTATGATTTCTCTCAACTTTTCTGCTGGGTTTTCACTTGAACTGATGGTTGCATTTCCAGGCAATCCAGCCTGTTGAAGAGAATGAACTGCTTGAATTCTGATATACCTGACATATCATGTACCTATAGATTCACTTTTTATAAAACTTCAGGTGTTATATTCTTCTTTACACTTCTGTAGTATTTACTTTTGCTTCTAAAATTCCTAGAATGTCGAAGGAAACCTAAAAAATAATATTTTTAAAATGTATTTTTAGTTCGATAAAGTATAATTACCTTTTATAAGTATTTGGTGTAAAATGTTGCCGGACATTCGGTTAAATGTTTATCTTCTGGTTTACGATTGATCTGCAATTCTTTGTTTTTATTGTAGTTTTTTTTTATTTGGTGTCATCGGCATCGACTGCTAAAGATACTCAATGAATGAAATAATAAATTTACATCAGGCATTGTAATCTGAAACAAAGACAATGGTTTAGAAAATAGTTATCTATTTTATAGAGGACCCTTACCAAATCTATTCGAATGTATAAATAATAATTATTTATAAAATAAATTCTGGATGTCGAAAAATAAACCATTAAAAAAGACAATTGACAAGAAAAACTGACAAGTGACAATTGGCATAAAACTAAACGTTCTGAATTCAGATTTGTAATGTTTACGGTAGGTTAACTAGGTAAATAACAAATAGAAGTTTTGCGAGGTTTTGATTTCCCTCAACAACTTCTCATGAACGTTGCATTTACGTTGTACAGTAATGTTATTACGTTCCCTTAATGCAACATCGCCGAAAGGCTTGGCAACGTTATGTGCTAGCTGGGTATTCAATAATTAAAAAATAATATAGCCACATACAAGTAAACTTAGTAAGTTTACTTCAGTGGTTTCTTCCTCTTGTTTATTAGTACCATTTATGTATTTTTTTTTAATTGTATTTTTGTATATTGGTATTTTTACTAATAAACTTATTATTGTTAGTAATATAATAGGTTTGTTGTTATACATAAGTAAAATAATTATAAAGACGGGAAAATGCATTTTTATTAATATTTATACGCATCATCCTGTACATCTGAATATTAAATCAAAATTTCTGAATATTTTCCAAAATTACATTTATTTCTTACTATTTGCCCACATATTTACCCACATAAATAAATAGAAGAGGAATTTAAATCGAACGATGAGTAATCATAACTACATTTTTTTTTATTTTATAAGACATTAACATAAATACATAGCATGAAGTTATATAATAGGCACTGAAATGAAGACCATCAAATTTGGATTACAAAGCATACAATAATTTCCAGTTGAATAACTATTTGAAAATTCAGTCTAGAAATATTAACAAAACATTTTTCAACTGGGTTAGTTTGCTCAATTTCGAATACTCCTTTGATCGTCCTTATTCCATGCCAATGTAATTTTGTTCTTGTTCCAATAAGACATATTTGAAATGAAGCAACTTTCGAAACTCTTTGTCAACTTTTATTATAGGATTTTTATTTGCTTGTTTCAGAGAATGCAACAAAGGAATGTCTGTGGAACGGCACTTGGTCCAAATCGAATTATTCCACATGCAGGGAAATTATTACATTACCTGCAGATGTTGAGACACAGACTACAATCTACTTCGTTGGGTATACGTTAAGTTTGATTACGCTGTTCATTGCTATGATGATATTTACTTATTTTAAGTAAGTATATTTATTTATTATGTAATAATTATTTTATTTTTAAATATACAACTGGATATATCCAATTTACAGGACTATAGGAGTTAACAATGCAACATAATAAAAAATACACAACATAGATCAGGATATCATCCGCAAATAAATGTACTAAGTATCTTTCGACTACACTCTTGTAATGTTAGTTTAATTTATTTTTAGTTTATTTATTTAAAACACACTATTTACAATTTATCTTTTCTGTCTATTACTTAAATTAAATCTGCCCATCCGTCGACAACTTCCGCTATTTATACAAAGCCCAGCTCTGTACGAGTAGCTTCTAGACAATGTCGAATTTCCGATAATTTTATTTCTATGACTCAACGGCCACCTACCGCTTTTTCTGGTAGTTTCGAGAAGCAGTGCGTTTGTCTCTATATTGTCAGACTTTATACCATGGGCAAGGAGTAAACAAATCACAGGGTAGGTTTTTTGCGAGACACTCCCAATGTTTTAGATTTTATATGAAAGTCTCAATATTATTCGTTAATATCATGCAATCGATATTTCCTTGTAATATATTTTAGATTATTATTAATTAGTCTATAATCAAAACCTTTACTATCAATAACTCATCGTTCTCCTTTTTCGTTTTTTTTTTGTTCAATTTTGCAAAAATATTTATTTTTAGCGTCTCTATTACTATAATATTATTATAATTAGATAAACCCTAATATTTAGCCGAAAACGCTTGCTGAGTTTTATTTATATAAAATATTATTCACACTTGATGTATATGTCTTATTTCTTACGAAATATATTCTAATTCGTTCTCTCTGGCTCTACATGTAACGGAAAACCCGTAACACAGAATTTTCATATCCGAATTTCAAATACACATCCCGAAATGTAATTACGTGTAACAGCCCAATAAGAAAAACGAAACCATTGCATTTTCAAACTTCAAACAAACCAAAACGTCCACCAAACGTTCATCAAAAATTTTCAGCTAGTTTACAACGACTGCGGAGTTTTAGTTATGAACATTCTACGCCAAAGGTAATTTTTTATTGCTGTCAAACAACTCTCTTTTTGGTTTGTCACAAACAGGTATTTTAATTATTACCTACCATTCTAGGCAAATCAATGTACTTTTTTGCATAAGAACATTGAAAATTATAGCAGCACCTCATACAGAAATATTATTTTTATACAAAGTCAATTCTTTCTTATAAACTGTAAATGAGCACCATAAAAGTGATTTAAATTAATTTTTAACATCTCTAAAACTTTATCATCTACCATAAAAAAAATTCAACAATTTTGTAGTGGTAGGATTGAGGACTAAACTATTCTATATTCAATTTTATTGAAGTCAGGATGAGATAAAAAAATGTTACTGAAATAAAAAATCTTGTAGTTGATATACTAATTTGAAATCAGGTTTTTTAAAATTAGTAGACAGTAAGTAATCCAAAAATTGATAAAAACATGGAGAAGCTAATAAAAAAAATATTTAGGAATAATAGACTGAGTGAGTAGTTTATCTTACTTTTTTTTTGTAAATTAGTCATTCAAAAATACTTAAGATGTATATTTTTATCTCAAAAGCACTGTATACTGTATAAATGTACAATTTATGAGAAGTCAAAGTGTATACATTAAAATTTTGTTGGGCCGCAAAGGTCAACGAAAACGGGAAACAATTTAAAACTTTTAATTAAACCATTAACAGTCTATTTTCGTTATTATATTCGAAAATTTTATTAATTGAAACAAAACAGTAATTAAATTAATCTTTCGAACGTTTTCTTTCAGTTAACTAATTTTAATTAGTTATTATGTTTGTCAATTATTGTGTAAAAGTAAAAATATTAATTTGTTAGTAAGAAAAAAGTACTTTTTTAATTTTAACTCGAACATCAACAAAAATAATTGACAAATTATTAACAATTTAAAATCCTATATTGTTGATTTGAACAGTAAGATGAAGAAGAATATTAAATATATAGATTAACTGTGGTGGAAGAAAATTCCTTTATTTCTCAATTAGTTATTTAATCAACGACAAGTTTCAATGTAGTAACATGATCATCAGGCATACCCAGATGGATAAATATGGATTCAGTGTAAGGTCAAGTTGGTTAACTGGAACCTAATTTTACAACACTTAAATTTGCAACTATGTACGAGACGAACCTGCAAAGAAAATTGGTCAAGATTCTATGGGTATGCAATTTAGACCTTTGTAAATCAACTGCAATAACGGCTTGAAACAAGGGAATTTTTTATTTTTTTTTTGTCAGTAGATTCCAGTTACCCAGGAATTTGAGGTAACTGGACGTAGGTAGTGTAATTCTGTATTTGTACAATGTAGAAAACTTTAAGGTTACTGAAACGTTTCGTAAAGTATTGAAGAAAGAACGCTTTATTCAAAATAAGTACTTAAATAACAAATGAAACACTAAAGCGGTGTATGAACTTATGTAAAGTACTTAATGATATTTTTTCATTTTAAGTACCATATATGATCCCCTATTATTAGTTTGTTGGGGCTCATGGATAACTTTTACTATATCTATTTCATCATATGCTAAGATATCGGGCTTTTCAGGCCAACGCCAAGCAAACTCCCCACTTTTTACCATGTGAGATATGATGATTTCTGTGTCTTTTACCAGGATATATTTCAATATTGTACCTAACAAGCACAAAATCACCCTTCACGACAACCACGGCATTTTCTGTATCCTTATCCGACATACAATCTTTTGAATCATCTTCACTACTTTCAGTCTCACTTTTAGTGTTCTTCGATTTTATATATATTTTTTATATTTATTTGGAGTTTTTTCTCTTTCGAAAGATCTATGTTTTGGATAGAGTTCACTTTTTGAGCTATTTTCTTAAGACTTTGTTTCGGCTCGGGCTTTCTTTTTCTCCTCTTCCAGTTTTTTATTTTTCTCTTCTAGTTTCTTTTTCTGTAAGTAGTCTGATGTTATAATTTCTGCCCCATTGCAGATCTTTCTTCTCTTTTGTGGTGTCGGAGATTCCGATTTCTTTTTTTAATTTTTTAGTAGTTCAACTACCAGACTTTCAAAGGGATTCAGACAAATATTGCTTTGGGTGTTTGAAGGTCCAGGTTTGTCTTCCCTTACCGAAGAACTTGATAAACACTAGATATTGATGGACATGTTATCCACAGGATTCTTTAACGTCTTTTTGATGGAAGAACTTGGCAAACACGAAACATTATTGGACACGTCACTAAAGTGGTCTGGTAACCTCATATTTTATTTACTAGGGTCTATTTGAAGGACTATTTTAAGGAAATGGACCAGTATTTCCGAAAGGAGGTGAAAACACTAAGAAAAACAATTTTAGAATACTTTTATGTTATTTGCTCACATATTCTGAAGCACCCTGAACCCTGTAAATTTATGATTTCTAAAAATGTTCAACATAATTCATACCATTCGTAACAAACTTCAATTATTTCCCAAAATTAATCATGTCACGTCTTTCCATTTAGAACTATGAAGTTTTGATGTAGATCTCGGCTCGAAATTTGAAATTGTGTGGTCATCCAATTTCAACCATTAACGTTTATTACGCGCAGACGATGTTTACCGCTATAAAGTTCAAAGGAATCGAGTTTAGTTTGCGAAATACCAGTTAACTTAAATTAACTTAAGTTAATGTATCTGGAGGTTAAATGCGAACTTCTATGAATCTATTCAAAGTTTGTTCGATTGATTGTGGTCAGTTAGAAATTTTATTTTAGAGTGTTTTGGTATAATTGTGATTTGATTTCAAACCAGAATCAAATTATTGAGGTGACTTTCAAGCAATAATTCAATTTTACTATTATCCTGTAGTTATAGTTTTAAAAAAGCAAATTTTCCTAGTATTTACCGAGATATTTTTAAAATGTCCCATTTTTTAGAAAGCTAATAAAAAGGATATTTTAATTTTAAATAATTTCTCCAAAGTTTATGATTTGGTCAACAATTATTATTATTATTATTATTATTATTATTATTATTATTATTATTATTATTATTATTAATATTAAAATATGGCAATCGAATTCGGCTAAATATCTGTTGTAAAAATACATTTTAATTAAAACTTATTTAGATAACAGAAAGTCTGTTATTAAGTACATTGGCTCTACCACAAGGTTCTTACTTAAAACCTCTGTAGTTCGTTATATTATGTAATCAATCATATTTGGAATATTTACTTGTTATTAATAATTGTGTATTATAATCTAATTTTTACTATTTAAACATTTTTGTTATATTAGTAATCAGTATGTCTTGATCATAAGAAATTATTACTAGACAAATGTCAAGTTAGGAAATGAAAGACAATCGACAAAGACAAATGGCAGATGACACAGGACAGAGTAAAAACTATTGCTCATGATGAATACGTTATTTATTTTATTAGAACATGTTTAAATTTTATATTATTACACTTTATCACTCCCCCCTCTATCACCGAAAACCAATTAAAATTGAATAGGGAAATAACCATACAATGACTGACACATTATTGGAAAAATAACAAATTTTACGGGGAAATAACATTTTATTAGTAATTCAATGTTAAAACAACTCCAATAACACGTCAATATTTTCCTCGCCTTTTCACACTATTTTCCTCGTTATATTTTATATATCTTCATTTTAACGTTTCGAAAAATTAGAGCGGCACAGATTATTTTTACAAGCAGTTGATATTATCATTCGCTTTGAAGTATCCTATAAAATAAAACGGTTCAGCTCTATTTCCACAACAAGCTCTATAAGGCTCTATTAATTCCGGCTTGCACTTTAATTTTCTTTATCTTTGACCAAGAAGTTAACTCATACTTAGCAGGAAATGTTTGTGACAAGAAAAATAAAAGAACTGAAATTGGTTGCAGCGGGAAATAAAGTGTGTTGGAACGAATGCAGTGAAATATCGAGCCAAAGTTTTAATTTGACTGCGTCTTTTTCCTCTTGATTTGAAAT